AAATGTTACAGGAAACCCTCTGGGACAGTTCTACTGTGTCCACAGGGTCCATGTGAGTCAGAATTGACTGGACAGCACACACAATAACTTAACATACTATCGATTAACCAAGTCCAAGGCCGAAAACAGACCACTGCCAGCACCTCCAGAAGTCTTACAGATCCTTTTTCTTCCCTAACACCTTCCTTTTATAAGTAAACACGACCCCCAAGTCTTATAGTAAGTTCTTACAATAAGTTCCTTCCTTTTCTTTATAGCTTTAGCCCCTTAAGTAGGCACCCTTAGCAACTGAGCCTAGTTTCAGTTGTATTCATACTTTACATAAATGGAATCGTAGTCCCATGTAATCTTTCATTTCATGTCTTCTTTCTTTCAACATTATGTTTTTAGAATTCATCTGTGGTATTGTGTGTAGCTCTATTTCATTCTTTTTCCATTACTGTATATTACTGTTGTTGGGTGCTGTAGAGTCAGTTCCGACCCATACCAATCTTGTATAGGGTTTCCTAGGAGCAACTGGTGAGCTTGAACCACTGACCTTACTGTTCAAACCAACTTTGCAGTCCAGCGCATTAACCACGACTCCATTGTTGTATAGAGATAGTCTACGGAATCTAGCAATTTAATGAGCTTTCCTCATGGCTACATGAGAGTTAGTTAATATTAAAATTGAATACAGTGGGATGACCTCCTTAGTTTTTGTCTTTAAGTTAAATGGGACCCAGATACTCCACTTGTGTGTTTGTGTGTATACATACACTCTAGAAAAGGGTAGGTTTATATGCACTCGGATCCATGTGTAAAATGTTCTTAGCCCCATATTTTAAGAATACACCAAAATGTATCCATCCGTTTTACTACTGATACCTTTAACTGTTTCTAATTGGATATGAGCACAGACAATGGGGCTAAGAACATTTTACACATGGCTCCGAGTGCATATAAACCTACCCTTTTCTAGAGTGTATGTACACACACACAAGTGGAGTTTGTGGGTCACATTTGACTTAAAAAAAAAAAAAAAAAGCAAAAACTAAGGAAGGTTATCCCAGTGCATCTCTTGGCAACCAATTTTAGTATTTACTAACTCTCATGTAACCATGAAGAAAGCTCATTAAATTGCTAGATGTATAGTTCCCTAGACAGTCACTAAATCTAAATAAAAATATATAAAATATACCATGCATTTAAGTTTGTTAAAAAATAGTTTGAAAGTTATCAATGAATTAACTGAAGTTTATTCCCCTTAATAACTTTCTTTAGGACATAGATCATATATTTCCTTTTAATGAAGGGAGACATTGTATATGCAGAGAGAATAAAATGTTCATTCATTTATTTTGAGCAATTTTGCACCAAAAATTTCATGTCAACACTTATACAGATCAAGGCTGAAAAGCCAAACTGAGAAATATAAATACAAATGTTGTTGTTAAGTGTTGTTGAGTTGGTTCCAATTCATAGAGACCTTGTATACAATATAAATAGGAAAGATTAACTCCAACTTCAAAGTCTCCACCATTTCCATTATCATCCTGAATGTTCTCCAAATGGAGTATATAAATAGGACATATTTAGCTGACAATATTGTGGAAGCAGCAAAATCTGCTCATCAGTCTACCATTGTCTGATAATAAACATAGTAAGTAACATTTAGTAGTGTGCCAGGCACTCTGCATGTTAACTCACATACACAGTGCTTTACATTTACTAGAGGAGATGCTGTTATTCTTCTCATTTTATAAGAGGAAACTGAGGCACAGAAAGGACAGGTAAACTGACCAAGGTCCCATTGCTATGCATAATGGAACTTTAATGTCGAAAGGTACAGGACCTGTAACAGGCAATTGCAGGCTATGCTTTCTGGTTTAACAGAGACTACTTATAGTCCATTATACTCATTACCTTGTAAAAGACAAGTCGGCTTTTTGTTGATAACATTGTTATTGTTATTTTGCTAACAACAAAAATAGTTCTTTAAGACTGGGGGAAAATGTGTAGACCATGGGGAAAATATCTATGCACATTTGTTTTGATTCATGAGAAATTTGTGAAAATGACTGTAACCAAACAACTCTCTAATTTTGGGAGAACTAATTAAGAAATGAATTAAGGGATTCAACGGATACCCAAATTAGTCATTAGGGCTAGAAGATCTGGAGTTCTGGTCTAAATCCAGCTCTGGCACTTGCATCCAAAATAAACATGACCAGCTAAGTACCAGAGTTCACAATTAAAATGGATTTATATGGCTTATGTGTCCACATGAGACTGGCCTCTTCCTAATTGAATTCAGACACCTCTTCAGCGATTGTAGGTTTCATTTGCCATCTTGCTCGTCTTTTGTAATGGCTGGCAATAGGACTGTGTTGAGGGAGAAATAATTTCAATCAGTAATGTCTACAGAAAGAGCATAAAAATACAAGGAAAGCTTCTGTGCTGTAATTAGAAAATTCGTTAAGTGTGCTCATATGGCATATGTTTGAGACTACTATCAACTGGCAAGACCCGTTACAGAAGGGATGTCCAGCCACCATTCTGACATAAGTAACCAGTAAAAGTCTTGTTCCAACATGCGATTAGAGTAATCTTCTGCAGGCCCAAATATCCTCGCATTCCACCTCTAATATGATTAGTGACAGACAGCTGGAGGCATCTCAGTTCCCAGACAAAAATGTGATCAGAATTGTCTTCAATTGGTACATCTTTCCATCAAGCTGTTTGTTGCCTTCCAGCCGAATAATCAGTTTCTGATTATTTGGTATACTCTCTAAGAAAACAGGAACTGAGTGTGCTTTTGCTTGTATGATGGGGAGAAGGAGGCCCACATTTACATAGTAACTCTTTAATTGCTCCAAAGAAAAACTAAGCAGTTTCTTTATAAGTATGCTCTATGTGTGTGTGTGTGCATGCATGTGTATGGGTATCGAAACAGAAACTAGAGAGAACCAACCAGTTGTTTCTGTAATAATTCTCTATGAATACTACAAAGTGTTTTCATTGTGATTCAGATATGAGGAAGTGAAATAGTATATTCCATTCATGGAAAATAACCAACACCCACTCCTGTTAATGACCCTTTTCAAAAAGTTACAGTCACCTTACTTCAAAAGTTTCAGTTTTATGGAGAAAAAATTCAAGTTCAGATTAAACACTCATGGAAATATTCATGTGCAGTAAAATCTCATTAACTTGGACCATCCTGATTTGGAAAATACAATCTTTTCATAAAGTCTGGACGGGAGATGATCTTTTCACAATAAATATGAAAAGCTGCCTTAGAAGAATCAGTCACTGAGATCAAAAGGGCAGCTTTTACCCAAGGACAAAGTGCAGAAGGGGTAGGAAAGAAGGACAAAGGGAAACAGGAAACACAGGGAAGTGGGAGAAGCTGTTACACTGAGAGGATTGTAATCAGTGAAATGAAGCAAAATATGCATGAATTATTGAATGCGAAATTGGTGATTTGCTCTATAAACCTTCACTCAATTCACAATAAAAAATTTAAACTGTAAGTAAATATACAGCTTGTGAAGCTTAGTAATTGATTAAGTTTGCAGGGGGCAAAAGTAAAATATTTCAGGGAAAGTATTCAGAAAAACAACAACATACTTTCTCTCCAGCTAATAATTTTGGCACATTGATTAAAATACCAATACTGTTAAACAGTAATAGTTGTTGTTTTGTGCAGGGTCACAACTTACAGCTACCCTGTATAGGTTTTCCAAGAATGACTGGGGAGTTTGAACTGCCAACTTTCTGGTTAGCAGTCCAGTGCTTGTCCCACAGTACCAAACCAGGGCTCAATTGACAATAATTAAGTTCACTTTGCATACATGAACTCAAATTGCCCCAAGTCTGCAAAAATGGTGTGATCATCCACACCTCAGCGTGGAGGACACTGAAGCCCAGGGAAGAAGTACCCACCAAGACTATGCAGTGACCAGGCAGCAGAAGCAGGACGTCTGGTTAAAACGCCTATGTCCTTCTTCTCCCAATCACTGCTAATTGCAAGCCAGTCTTCTAGAGTCACTGTCATTGTTCTTTGACAACAAAGACAACAGCAAAAATGGCTTTCATTTGAGGAGGGGAAGCCAGGCAACCTGGCTTCCAGAACCTGTCATTTTTAACCATAATTATTTTCTACATCACAAGAATGTCTACAAAATATATATTATTTTCTTTTTTGTACTTCAAATTATTTGGTTGTTAAGTGCCGTTGAGTGGAGTTGGTTCCGGACCCATAGTGACCCCGCGTAGGGTTTCCAAGGAGCGACTGGTGGGTTTGAACCACCGACCTTGCAGTTCAAACCAACCTTGCAGTCCAGCACATTATCCTGTAGCACCACACTTTCTAACGTAATCCATCAACATAGTGTAAGTGGAGGCTGGGCTATGAGGATGGGGGAAGGCTGGCAGAGGTGGGGGTAGGTAGGTATAGGTGAGGGTATGAGTGTGCAGGAGGAAGTAGGGAGGTATAGGAAAGGGTAGGAGAATGAGATGTGGGTAGGGGTGTAGAGGTGGAGGTAGGGAGGTACAGGACAGGGTAGGAGGGTGGAGGTGAAGGTAGGAAGGTGTAGACAAGGATAGGAGGATGCAGGAGGAGCAGGGGAATGGAGGTGGAACTAGGGTGTGGAGTGACAGTAGGGGCTGGTAGGAGGAGTGCCTCAGGCCCACTGGCCCCCACTACCCTGTCAAGGGTAAGAAAGAAACCAGATGCCGTCAAATAGATTCTAACTCAGGACGATGCTATGAGTTAGAATAGAACTGAACTCCATAGGGTTTTCACAGTTATGATATGCAGATCGCAAGGCCTTTCTTCAAAGGGCCCTCAGGGTGGGTTTGAACCACCAACCTTTCAGTGAGTAGCCCAGCACTTAACTGGTTGCTCCACCCAAGGGCAGTTTCTTCAGACCATACACCCATAGGTGGGCCTGCTCGTGCTGCAATGGGCCTTGGGAAGTCAGCTGCACGTGAGCCGGAGGACCACCTCTACTAACCTGGGAATCCACGAAGATGTCCCTGAAAGCAGTCTGGAGTCGTGAGTACTCTAGGAAAAAATGGAAATTTGAGAGGTCAGGCCTCACATTTAGCCACCACACAGTACCTACCCCCCTCCACATGTGCACACGAGCACAGCACACCGGGACAAGAAGTTAGGGTTCTCTGATCATAGTAAATAGATTTGTTGGTGGTTATAAACGGATGTTTCAGGCCTTTATATACTGCTACTTTGTAACTGATAACTTTCAGAATGCTTCTAATAGTTAAAAGTCCAGTAAGAAAGTAGGAATGGGCATTTACCAGTTCTCCTTTCTATTACAATTTGTTACAGGATTCGTGTCGTCTGACATTCCTGAATTCCCTTGTTCTTGGTGCCCTACTGCTGTGTTCAGAATTTTTCTGCTTGGGATGGAAGTTGGGAAAAGGGTAAGGGCAGACCTACTTGAGTATAAAGAAATAAGCTACCACAATTAAGATTTATCTTTTCCTGTTGTCTTTCCTTATGATTGTTGTTAAGTACCGTAGAGTTGGTTCCAACTCATAGTGACTCTGCATATAGTTTCCAAGGCTGTAAATCTTTGTGGTAACAAGAAGCCTCATCTTTCTCACTCTGAGAGGTTGGTGGGCTTGAACCACTGACTTTGCGGTTCAAAGTCCAGTGCTTATCATACAGCGCCACCACACTCTCCTTCCTTATGATTAAAGTGAACAAAATAAAGGATGAGATTGTTTAAATGAGGGGTAGGAACAAAAGCATAGACTCTTTTTTTATAGTGGCTATGTTGATATTTTCATCCTATTCATCTGACGGTAGTACAATCAATTAGGTTTATGATAAAATATATGTACTCAACAAAATATGGCTGTTGGGGATATGTTGTCCTTGGATGTATGTTGCTGTACCTTGACCACTGTAAGAAATATTGATTTAACTGGCTTTAATACCAAGTCAGGTATTTGTTGACACATGGAAATGAAAAATATCAAAACCTATAAAACGCTTGATATATAGGTCAAAACCCATTTCAGCTCACTACAAGAGACTGTCCAGAGTCTTCTGTTGTGCTGGAATTGTGGTTTACAGATGTTTGCCTCAGTCACAGATAACAGTGATCTCCATTGTTATGAGATTTGGTACATAAATGAATGCTGGTATACATTTTCATACAGAACCATGTAGTGCAAAATGCACAGCAAAAAACTCAACCTCATTATATTATTAACCTCTTCCTTCTCTGAATTCTGAGCCACATCTTGCTTTCTATCTAAGGTATGCAGTGCGCTCCTTTTCAATGCCTATCTCAATCCTCAGAGTGCCTAATGCATAACAGACACTGAGGATTTTGCTGATGAAGAAATGAGCTGAATAAACTATGGTACCAAAGCAAATGAAGAGATATTCAGAATAGGTGCTTGTGTAGAAGGAGATATGAAATTTCGAGACTGATTCAAAATGAGTCTAGCAAGCAGGCACAGCCAGCATCATCTAGCACGTTCAGGAATCCTGGGCCCTTCCTGCCCAGGGATCACAGCGGCTTGTCTAAAATGTCCAACACTTGTAGTTTAGACACGCCCGTCTCAGAGAAAGTCTACAGACACATTTCAGTCATTGTATAGATCAAGCTAGGGCAGCAATGAACAAATCCAGTTTTAAAGGACCAAGGGAAAGGGCCACCATGACTCTGGAAGGTAATACAAGCCAGGAAGGTGAGCTCACAGCAGCTAAGGGGACAAGAAAAAGAGTATCTCCAAGTTAGGATTATTCTCTTGCAGCCGGACCCATAGCAGTTTCTAAATCCTTATTTATATAAACAAGGGCTTGAAGAAAACCAAGAGACTTCCAACAAGCTTTATAGACCTAGTGCCAAAGCTCCCAACATCTCATTCTCTTTCCTTTTCTCCTCTACCCACATGACTAACAATCAAAGAGTTTTCTATGCAATCTTATTGGAATATTTGTCTTCTATTTTAAAGCCAACTATATAGGGTTTGCTTTTGTCTTGGAACAACACAGACAACATCATAGATCTGCATGCCTCTTCCTACAAAGATCTTTACTATGTACAAAGGAATCCCTTATTGAAGGCAAAGGACTAGTTTCACCATGAGAGGAATATGTGTCCAAGCTTTGAGAGAGTTCAACCAGAGCGGTAGGCATTTCCAGGGCAAAGAAAGGGGCCTGCCTCTATATTACTGCAGGAAGTAGAAGTGAAGCGTTAGAAAGATCTGCTGAAGTTAGTCCAAGGGATGTTGTAATTTTACAGTTTACAAAAATTTCCAGTCTTTATTTGAAGACAGTTTTAACGGTAAATTGACGATTCTTCATCCAGGAGAATAGTTTTGATCTACTAATAAATAACCTAGATACTAGTTGTAAAAGCATTATGAGGATGGTGCAAGACTAGGCAGTGTTAAATTTTGTTATGTTGTTTTGTTCTGTTTCGTCGCTATGTGTCGGAACTGACTCCACAGCACCTAGCTGAACAAGAAGTTAGGAAAGCACTTTTGAGTTAACCTAGTAGTTTGCTTGAAACATCTGATCCTCTGAATCACCAAGTGTCATCAAGTCAGTTCCGACTCATAAAGACCCTGTGTACAGTTTCCGAGGAGTGGCTGGTGGGTTGGAACCACCGACCTTGTGGTTAGCAGTCCAGTGTTTTTCCTACAGTGCCTTTGTTAAGTGCTGTTGTGTTGGTTCCTATTCACAGTGACCCTATGTAGGGTTTCTGAGGCCATAACTCTTTGTGGGAGCAAAAAGTCTCATTTTTCTCCCTATGAGAAGTTGGTGGGCGTGAACCACTGGTCTTTAGGTTCACAGTCCAGTGTTTTTCCTATGAGCTACCCTTTTCCTCCACGTGAGAGATGAGGCAGCTAAGGCTTAGAGATAGTACAGCACTTTGCTACAAACGCATGAGGCCACATCTTGAATACAACCAGCTGATTCCTTTTCCAATTCTCTGTTTACAGTCCTAACTACTTACTACAGGTGTTGTTGTTTTTAAAAAAACAAAATAACACACACATATACACAAAACTCACCACCGTCAATTCGATGCCGACTCATCGCTAGCTACCTGGTAGGGCAGGATAGAACTGCTCCATAGGGTTTCCAGAATGAAGTTTACGCAATTTACGGTCTTCACACAAGCAGACTCTGCCACATCTTCTCCTGAGCAGCTGGTAGGTTAGAACCACCAACTTTCTGGTAAGCAGCTGAGCTCTTAATCGCTGTGCAAAATAGATGCCCAAACTTAACTTGTAGGATTCTCACCACCTATAACACCACTGAGGGGGAAATACTACCAACAGGCCACGGGGTCATCAGATCATGTCAAGACCCAAATGTCTTTAGCTATTCAGATCTGAATGACACGGTTGCTCCTTCACAAGAAGTAACAGTTGAAGGAAAACCGAAACAATTCTAAGACAAGAATGTGCACGTTCAGGGGCAATCAAAATTCAGGAACTCAAAAACCCAACATAGCTGTCTTGAGGAGACAATAGTTGGTTATAAATTCTGCAACAAAGTACTTCTTGGGTATGGGATGTTTTTCTTTGGGTTTCTTTCTTTCTTATTCTTCCTAAGAACAGAACCTACAAAATGACACACTAGGATCACCCTACTAAAAGACAACTTCAATTGTTTCTTTGTTCTAAGAAATTGTGTTAAGTACTAACTGGCAGTACCTGTACGTTGATCTTCCTATTAATTATGCATTTTTCACAGAGAATTGACTGTCATACCACATGCAGTAAGTCAGATTTGAGAGCTGCCAAGGTAAATGTTCCAAATAGCTGACTTTTTAAAGGCAAACTGTCAGTTCAAATAATTAGTTACGCGTTTACCCTATATACGTTGTGTCTCCCCTATTCCTATACTTACATCTTATAGCTCTTTACAGATGCCTCATCTTAAAAATGAGCCCACCTAAAGATTTTCCCCCTCAAACCCTTCATTTCAGACAGCCCATAACTCTCTGTTATGCAAGCGTGAAACTCACTATTCCTTTTGACAGCACCAGTTTATTTTGATTGCTATTATTGTTTAATTCCTAACATGATTTAAGTAAAATACTCTGATTCTTAAGAAGATAAGTAATTCTGACCTGATCCATGCAACTAAAACCAAGAAGGGTTTTGTATTATTGACGAAATATATTGCTTATTCCTTGAAGTTTCCTTTCAGGTAACCTATTAGCGTTACATTTCCTTTAGTTCACACCTTATTTTCAGGAGGCTTGGTTCCAAAACATATAAGAACATACGCACTAAAGAGGTTATATATTGCATAAGCCAAGAGTTCCAGCCAAGAACCCTTTCTTTTACGTGGCACCAAGTGACATTTTGTAGAAAGCACAATGGTAACTATTCATTTTGCCAGCCTCAAAAAGATAGGCATGAATTGCATGCCAAAATGGGATAAAAAGCTTCAGCTCTGCAAGCAGACAGCTGGCTTCAAATACCACTGCCGCCACACTATCTCTGTGACCTTGGGTACATGATTTAGCTCCTCTTAGAGATTTCTCATATGAAAAATGGGGATGGCAGATTTAACTCAAACAAGTTTTGTAAGAGACACACGAGAGGAACCTACCATAAAATCTGGTACATTAGTAGGCAATAACGGAGTGCTATGGTCCTGCTGAAGGATAATCACTGGACTGCTAACCACAAAATTGAAAGTTCAAACCCACCAGTCACTCCTTGGAAACCCTATACAGAGTTACTGTGATTCAAGGCTCATTCGATGGCACTCAACACCACAACACCAATAACAGGGCGCCCTGGTAGTGCAGTGGTTAAGTATTTGGCTGATGACATGAAAGGTCAGTGATTTAAGCCCACCATCTGCTCCCTGGGAGGGAGATGGCGCAGTCTGTGTCTGTAAAGATTACAGCTGTGGGAAGGCTCTAGGGCAGGAGCTCTGCTCTGTCCTCCTTTAGGCTCACTGTCAGCAGGGATCCATGCAATGGCACTGGCTTTTATTGCTGTTGTTTTTTGTTTTTTTTAATAAATTGTCGGCTATA